TATATATATATATATTTAATCGAGCTTATAGTTTAAGAGTGTAGGTCCATTAGCTCATTTCTAAGCCTGTTTTCATACTCACAAAGTAGTCTCATTAGATTCTGTTTTATGTTTTAAGTGCATCAAATGCTTGATTATTTATGCTACTAAGTGCAGGGAGACAGATAATGACATTATAAAAGCTAATCTAAAGTAATGCCGCTCCCCCTCCCCCAGTGTTTTTCATGCTTGAGTTTCTGTGAAACGACTTAATTGATGAAATCCAAGTTTATTCACTCTCATTGCCCTCTTCCAAGGCCTCCCTCAGTGATGAGGTGGTCAAGTAGATGAAGGAAGAGAGGCTATTCATTCACCTGTGAATTTTACAAACGGATAATTAGCATCTGAATAAGTGAGACAAAATTTCCCAAATTTGTGTGTATGTCGGTAAGTAGAGCCAGTTCAATTTTGAAATCAGACTCCTAGCAAACAACGCAGTTTCCTACTTGTGTAGGTTTGCATTTATACAAGTTTTAATTCTTTTAAAAAGCTTTTACATAACTCTGAAAACACAAGTGTTATAAAATCACTCATGGCGTTACCAAAGTCAAATGGTTGTGGAAGCTCTTGACAAGTAAGCACACAGGTTTTCCTGTGACCCAGAATATTTTATGTACAGCCTATATTTAGTTTTAATTTAAAAACAGTTTATGAAAGTATCTATCAAAAATGCTTGAGATTTCAGTGCTTGACAAGTGAATAGGAAATTTCCTTGAACTATTTCCTTGTGTGTGATACTAATGAAAGGGTTCAACATTTTGGCCCTTTACGGTGATGTCAGGAGTGTCACAGTAATGCTGCCCTGTGTACAGTATACTTATGGTTCCTTTCATCTCAGAGGAAATGTAATTAACTGTTGAGTTGGTAACTTTTGGCATCATTGTGTGTGTTTGTGATTATCTGGACAGCAGGTGCCTTGAGCAAATTATTTCATCACACATCTTTCCAAAGTCCACAACTTATTAACATCTTGTAGAAATTTAAGAAATAAGGGGACCAGCAGTTAGTGTAATGGCTATGTGGCTGAACTCCCATGTAGTCAACTGCGGTTCGAGTCCCGGACCTGGTGGGTTGAACTCATGCTGGGTGCATGTGCATGCATGCCCAAGATCCTGAGAGGAGAATGGTGCAAAAGGGATTGCAGAGTGGCCATCCCCTCTTGGGGGGTGATTTCTGGCTTTCTATCTCTCTGTCTCTTTCTGGCGAGTACATGCGCCCTATAGCAAAAACCTCTCAAAGAAAAAAAAAAAAAGAAATTTAAGAAATAGGAAAAAAAGGTTTTATTTATTTTTCTCTTCTATTTTCTTTGCCTCTTCTCCAGTTTAACCTTAAATGAGAGAATAATTTGAACCTCTTACACTCCCCACACACTCCACAAGCAGATCCTGAGAAGTGATGTGTCTTTTCCTAATTAATACCATATATAGTCAGTTAATTCAGGGGTCTGTGAAGACCTGAAAGGAGTGTGCTTCATTTTACATATGCTTTTTTTTTTTTTTTCCTGAGGCAGATCTCCATTATTTTCATCATTTTCTCAAAGAGAAGGTTAAAAACCATTAACTTAATGGTAGGTAAGAGGCTGAGACTTCTCAACTTTGTGAAATTCTTAATTCTTTCCCTTATGGCACAGAGAAACGTAATGGTCTTTCAGGTTATTTGGAATATATTTTTATATTTCTATTACCAAAGTGAATATAGATAGGTAAAAGTAATGAAAAAGTATATGTGGTATGTGCTGAATTTTTCTCACAATTTTTTTTTCTTTGATACTCGCATTGTCTTATATTCAGAATTTCTGGGATCTTACAGTATTGTAGTGGTTTGCAATAAAGTTTGATTTAAAAAAATACAGTTTTTATGCACTTTATTTTAGCTAACTAAATCCTTGGGATACTGTACAGTTGTACCTTAGGAAAACAGTCTTAACTTTTTTGCTCAAAAGCTTGCTGTTCTTGATAATTATGTATAGATATACATATAGTCTTTTTATGATCACATGTCTATTAATCAAAATCAAAAAGTAAGTTACTAGATATACACTGTTAGATGGATATTCTTAATTAAAATATTAATGACTGTTTGAAAGAATGTTATAAAGAGAATTTCAGGAGTATTCTCTTTTAGCAAGTAGTAGTACCTATTTCACTGTTCCTATACTGGAAAGAAAAATTACATTATTCCTCACCAATATGTACAATTATTGTCAATTTAAAAATTTAAAAAGGGTCCAAACTAGTAACTTGATGTTAACTGTCAGTTAGTCTAAGAACAGATATTACTTGGTATGCATTTTTTCCCCTAAAAATAAAAAACCTTGTGTAAAGGGATGTGAAAAATAAATCTTGCAGTTCATTTTGTTTATAAAGGCTTAGTGCTTCTATTTTTAGGAAATTTAGGACATTGTTTCGAGATTTTTAAAATAAGCAGTGGGCTTACAAGTGACAGAAAACATTACTGAAAACAGTCAGGTTATCACAAATTATTTAAATATTGATTTAATTTTTAATATATTAACTTTATTAGGTATGTTCTTTTTCTTTATTGCCAGAGGGTACATGCGCTTACCTGAGAGAGAGAGAGAGACAGAGGAAGAAAGCAGCCTCCAGTGGGCATGGTCACGCTGCAGTCCCTTCTCTCTCCATTCCGTTGGGATTTTGGGCATCCAGACACATATGCTTAGCCTGTGTTTCAAGCCATTGGACTTGGAATTCAGGTTGGTGTTGGTCATGTGGAATCCAGCTTCCTTACCCACTAGGCTGAAGGGCCTACCTCAGATAGGTTTTTTAAAAAATAGCTTCCAGAACTTTTGGTTCTTTATATCTTCAATTCCTAGTGAAATAAACATGTAAGTAATAGATAACTAGTTCATGTAGTGTGCTTTTCACCAGTAAGAACACAAAAATTGTCTGGTTACTATTGTTCTCTTTGATTTTTAAATGTAAAATAACATTAGCACTCCATACTAAGTGTATTCTAAATAAGTTATTGCATTTATTATTATAATTATTTTAAACATTTTGCCAGAGGGAATATGCACTGACTGAAAAAAGAGAAGGAAAGGGAGAAATCACTCCCCATGGAAATGATCACTCTATAATCCTTTCTCCATTTCTCACTGCTTTTGGGACTTGGGGCACACATATGTGCACACACGCATACTTGGTGTGTTTTTCAAGCTGCTGCGTCTTGAACTGTGTGGTTGGCCATGTGGGACCCAGCAGCCTTCACCACCACACTATGGGCTGACCCACTGTCTTATTATTTAGTAACATTTATATAGGGATGTAAGTAAATTACCTATCTTTTCAGATTTTAAAAATAGTACTTTTATTAGAAGAAAATATATATTATAAATACTCATATAGAGAAAATATCATTTGGAAATTTAAAAAGACATTTTAAGCCCTTAGGTCAGAGAGGAAATTAAAAAATAGGATGCTAGGTTATTTATTTATTTTTAAAATTATTTTATTTAACTTTATTTATTTAGTTATTTTAATTTGACCAGAGAGGGACAGAGGGGAAACAAAGGAGAGAGAGAGAGAGAGAGACAGAGAGAGAGAGAGGAGGGAGGGAAAGTGAGGTCTGGGACTTGAACCATAGTTGACCATGTGAGAGTCCAGTGCCCTTAGCCACCATGCCACCTGCTGGCCCCAGGATGCTAGGTTATTGAAATAGGATGCTAACTTATGCAAACCTGTGGAATGTGGCTGCAGCTATATTCTGAGGTAAATTTAGTCGTAGATGCCATTATTATTGTTGTAATATAATTTATTTTTATTATGTTGCTAAACAGAAATACCTTAGATTGAGTGATTTATAAAGAATGGAGATTTATTTGGGTCATGATTCTGGTGACTGGAAAGTCTAAGAGTATGGGGCTGGCATAATAGTGTGGCACAGAGAAGTGGGAAGGTCACTGAGAAGGTCTCCTGCTAGAGGTAGCCATCTTCTATAACAACCCAGTCTTGTAACTAACTCATTCCCTCATTAATCTGTTCATGAGAATGGTGCCTACATGATCTAAACACCACCCTCTTAGCCTCGTATCATAAAGATCTTACCACCTCTCAACACCATTATGCTGTGGACAGCTTCCAGCAAATGAACCCTAAGGGAATAAACCATATCCAAAATACAGCAGTTGTTAAACCATTTTAAATAAAATAAAAATTAAGCATCCAAGAGAGGATGTTAGGAGAAGAACTCCATCAGAGCAAGAGAAAAAAATACTATTAAGTGTAAAACCAGAAATTAATAAGTTAGATAATCCAAAACTGAAATCTAGGAAGCTTTTTTAGAAAAGTACCATTAGATTTTAGCAGGATTAAATTTGGTCTTTTTTTTTTTTTTTTAAGAATTATTTTATTTGACTTTAGTTATTTAAATTTGACTAGGGAGGGGCAGAGAGAAAGAGAGGAAGTGAGAAAGCAAGCCACCAGGTCCAGGACTCCTCTCAAATCACGGGGTCAGCCATGAGGGAGTTCAACGCCCTTAACCACCATGCCACCTGCCGGCCCCAATTTGGTCTGTTTTGAAAGGGGAAAATATACTAATAGCAAAGCAAGTGGGTAGAGTCTAAGTTAAATACTTTGATTTTGCTCAATACTTCCTGAAGTTTTGTAAAACTTACACATATAACTACTGCAGTTAGTTTTGGAGAATGATTTACTTTAGGTATAAGTTATTCCAATCCCAAAACAGTACAGTTAGCAGTTGCCAATTAAACGTTAATTGATTTTTTCTTTCATTAGACATTAATTTTAATTTTGGCCATGGGATGTAAAATATCTTAGTGTTTAATATACCACATTTTTACTTTAACATAGAATACAAAGGGTTTCCATGGTCATATTTTTTCTGTGGGTGTCTGGTACATTTCTTGAAGTTTGACTGTGGGAGAATATCTCATTATGTTCTACTTCAGTTTTGATTTTTAAGTGGGTGTAGTTTTTGTGTCGCTTAATCTGGAAAAATTATTTACACTCTTCCATTTCTGAGGAGTTCAGTGTACGTTCTCTGCTGATCTGTTCCTTATACTAATGTTTGTCCATTTTCCTTAAACCAGTATTTTACCCTGTTTTTTCCCCCAGAATATATGCTCAATGAATCAATAGCTGTTGAAGTATACAGGCTCTCAGTGATCTGAATGTATTTGTATAATAAACTCTTTTTTAAACAAAGTTTTTATAGTATCATGTTCTGATAAATTCTTAGGTTTTCTAAATTATACATAAGACATTTTATTTATTGACATTTGCTTTAATACACAACATTAAAAATGAGTATGAAACAACTTAAATAGTTTTTTCAAAGAGAGATTTCTGGAATTAATAAGATTTTTCAGTAATTTGGGAAATACTGAAACAATTTCTGAAAAATAAATATAATTTTGCTATGTAGTGAGTTTTCGTTCTTTTTTTTTAAAAAAAAAAACAGTAGTATAAAAATAACTAGGCTTTGTTCAGTATACTTTAGACTCATTTTGTATTTATGAGTTTTTTTAAGGTGATAATTTACTGCTATAAAATTTCTGACTCCTAAAACACAGATCTTGACAAAAATAAAAGACTTAACATAGAAATTCAAATTGAGTAACAATTTTATGAAGTAACCAGTCTAATATAATTAAAATATTGCCAGAGACTGTTGTTTACTTATCATTTTATCTATGCGGATTTTATCATGTAGAATTTTGAGAGTAGTTTTGCACCTAAATATTTTTGAACCCGAGGACGACAGATGCTGTTTTTTGCTGTATAATACCGAAGGCCCCAAAGTCAGAATAAATGACTTTTGAAACCGTAAAGAGTTGAACTATAGGAGAAGGTTTGCCAGTCTGTTCCTGCTAGTGACATCTTCTGTGTGTGCAGCTGTTGACTGTAGCAGCTTCTCTGTCTCTGTCTCTGTCTCTCTGTCTCTCTCTCTCTTTGCTATAAACAATGAATCATTTCAGTGTGTTGAGTTTTATTGTTGAACTCTGGTACCTAGAATTGCTCTTAGAATAGAAACCAATACAGACCTTAATGTTTAAAGGTGCACATTGTCTTATATGTGCCTTCTTAGTTGTAAATTATGCTGGATACCATTCGAACAGTGGGTTGTCCAAGATCATAAAATTATTTTTTATAAAGTACAAAGGAAATTGGGTACAAACATTTGCTGCAATTTTGACCTGAGCAAAAGAATTTGAATTTGTTATTACCAAAATAGTTCAGGAGTTGTTACTTTTTTTGCAGAAGAATCAGAAAAAGTGTTATTTTTAAATTATTTATAATTATATTAATACAGTTATTTTTTTCATTTTAGCAGAAGAATTTGGTTCCTTACTTAAACAGAAAGCTGATGTTTACTAGTTCAGATTTATAACATTGTTCAGATAATTCTCATATGTTCAAATGGACTTTGATTTTTAAAAGAAATCCTATATGCTTCATTTTTAGTGCTGTTAAAATGTGTTTTAATTTCCCCCTCTTCTTATACATATGAACTGTGTAAAGGCAAGTTTCATTTAGCATTATTTTTGAAAGTCTGCTTTTTCTACCCTAATAAGGGAAACATTTATTAGTTTAATGTTTTATACCCTATATAAATAAGTTTTGCGTTCTATTAAATATCACAGTAAAAATGACTTATAGTATTAACAATTGAATGTGTTTTTCGCCTCTTATGTTAAAATTTAAGAAACCCCTTCAGTTTACAAATACTTGTTATTAATATGTCTATTTCAGATTTGATTAATCGTACATTTATGTAGACATTATAGTTAAACAGGTAGGAGGGATATTAAATTAATACTGCCGTGTAGTTCAGATTTTTGTCTTACCCTTCCTTCTCCCCTTTTTCCCTCAAGCATTTCTGAATATTTTCAGTTTATTTTTAGAGAACTTATTTTTCTGGAAAAAAGCTATATATTCATCTTATCAAGTCTTGTTTTAACATTTTTTTCTTATGTCATTACTAATTACATTTGTGAGAAATTTACCTGAAATTGTTTATAAGAACTAATACTTTGGTGGGAGCTTTGAATATATATCACCCTAGTGGGCTTGTAAGGGAAAAAAGTTTTGATTTGGACCATCAGTTTTTTTCATTTTTTTTTTAAAAGAGAGATTTTTGCTATAGTGCATGTGTGCTTGCCAGAACAAGAGAGAGAGAGACAGAAAGTGAGAAATTATCCCCCAGGAGGGATGGCCACACCACAATCCCTTTTCTTCATTCTCCTCTTGGGATTTTTGGGTGCACGCCTAGAATAAGTTTTAAGCCACTGAGTCTGGGACTCAAAATGCAAGTCAAAATGAGGTCCTCTGTGTGGTAGTCCAGCAGTGTAACCATTACGCCATCTGCTGGTCTCTGGAACATTGCTTTTTAAGGTCGTTTCTTTTTTTCTTTCTTTTTTTAAAGAGTGGTTCTTGCTGTAGGATGGGTGTGCTCACCAGAGAGATGGAAAGCGAGAAATCATCCCCAGGGCAGATGGCCACGCCCTAACCCTTCTCCTCCATTCTCCTCTCGGGATTTTGGGCACACACGCACACGTGCTTGGTGTGAGTTTTAAGCCACTGAGTCTGGGACTCGAAATGCAGTCCAACATCTGCTGGTCCCTGAAACATTGCTTTTAAGGTAGCTGTTTTGAGCAGTTAGAACATTGGCTTACCAATTCTGCTTACTGGTTTCATTTAAACATGCTTTATATCTTTTTTACGTTATGATATTTATGTTTTAACATTCTGTTTTTGTACAGTATGCCTGTACATTTTCTTTACAATTTAAGAGTGGTTGTTAAATACCATTCAGAAAACTGCGTACAATCAACGTACGCCTTACTGATAATGTGAATAACTTGTTTTACTGCACTTTGGATACAGAATTTTGTCAGTCACTCCAGAAGCATTCTAGTTGCCTCTTCCCAATCACAGCTCCCTCTTTCCTAAGTGTAATTCTTGGCCTGACTTTTGTGGATTTAGTTTTTTTAAATAACAAAAAGTACAAAGCAAACTAAATCAAGTACATATTAATTGATTACTTTTGTTTGCTTAGATATCTAATGGGAAACTGAAATAATTCTCATTTTTCCCCGTTGAACTGTGAGCTGGAAGGTTTTTTTTACCCTGAAGTCCTTTTGCTTTTATTTTTTTTTTTTTCCTTTTCACTTAATGACATGAATCTAATTTCCTGAAATGGACAGAAATAGACTGTTTATTAAAATATACAAACAAATACAAAGTAATTAACCTTTAGGACTCTGTTTAACGATTTTTTTCTCCTAAAAATTGTTAAAAACACAATGTTTTATTTGAAAGCTTATATTTCTTAATACCAGTTTTATTTTTAGACTCTGAGATATGACTTCCTTGTACTCTTGATTGTTTTAACTGCTTTGATTATGCAATAAATTATTTCATTGAAATGCAGTAACCTTTGGTGAGTTTTTCCTTATTTTAGTTGATGACTTTGTCTAAATAACTTGATCATAATTTAATTATTTTAAATTGACATTGCTGTTCCTTTTGGATATTTTATGAGTATTGAGAAGAGACCTACTTACTTTTACTGTTTATAAAGACTGACTTTTCTGTTGCAAAGTTGTGAATTTGTATTAAATTGTTTGCTTATTTGTTATTAATGCATTCTCCCCTCTCTTTGAAGAATGTCAAGCTGTCAGCCGAGGTAGAGCCATTTATTCCCCAGAAGAAGAATCCGGATACATTTATGATACCTATGGCTCTCCCAAATGATAGTGGAAATGTTACTGGTGTAGAACCAACTCCAATTCCCAGCTACCTGATTACCTGTTATCCATTCGTGCAGGAAAATCAGTCCAATAGGTAATCTGTTTATTGTTTTCTTTATTGTATGGGGCTGGGGTGGAGATGTAGAAATTGACACAGAACAATTAATATTTTTTTCTTGTACTTTTTTTTGGAGAGGTTTTCACTATAGGGCGCGCTCGCCAGACAGAGAGAGACATAGAGACAGAAAGTGAGAAATCACCCCCCGGGGATGGGCCCGCCGCAATCCCTTCTCCTCCATTCTCCTCTCAGGATCTTGGGCACGCACGTACACGCGCCTGGCGTGAGTTTAAGCCACCGGGTCCAGGACTCGAACCGCGGTCGACTATGTGGGAGTCCAGCGACATAGCCATTATGCTAACTGCTGGTCCCTCCTGTACATATTTTTTAAGAGAAGAAAATAGGGACCAGCAGATGGCGGAGTGCTTACTTTACTAGTCTCCCATATGGCCAACTGCGGTTTGAGTCCTGGACCCAGTGGCTTCAAACTCACTCTAGGCATGTGTGCATGCCTGGCCAAACTCCCGAGAGGAGGATGAAGGAGAAGGGACTGTGGCATGGCCACCCCCGGGGTGATTTCTTGTTTTCTGTCTCTTTCTCCCTGGCAGGTGCAGGCATCCTATAGTAAAAAATCTCTCTTTAGAAAAAAAAGGGAGAAGAAAATAAAACCAAATAGATAAAGAAGTTTAGAAGTTGTTATCATGAATTATCTTCTCATTCTTCCTAAGAGTCAGTGGAGCAGGGGCCAGCAGGTGATGTGGTAGTTGAGCTGCTGGACTCCACAGAGTAGAGCACAGTTCGAGTCCTGGATCTAGTGGCTTGAAAATCTCACTGGGTACTTGTTGTGCATGTTCAAAATCCCAAGAGGAGAAGGGAGGAGAAGAGATTGTGGTGTGACTCCCCCCAGGGGGTGATTTCTCACTTTCCCTCTCACTGTGTCTCTCTGTCTCTCCCTGGCACACACGCCCTACGGCAAAGACCTAAAAAAGAAGAATAAGTGGAGTTCTTTCCTGTGTCTTCTGTCTACAAAAACGTGTCATAAAAGTCAGGGGTTTTCACTATAGGGCGCGTGCGCTCACCAGACAGACAGACAGAGACATAGAGACAGAAAGTGAGAAATCATGACACATTTTTGTATAGAAAAACATGTCATTACGTTCCCAACAACCTAATATATTAAGTCATTGAAATTTGTTTGGAATAAATCAACCCAAAAGCAAGAAATGAAATATTCAGAGAAAGGTAAACACTCTTTATTGAGTTTAGGCATCTAATCTCAAAAGTACCAGCACAGTCTCTGGCATAAGAAGGAAATACCAAGGGATACTCTGGAGCTTTCACGGTTAGTTAGCATTTATTTCTAGACTCCTCTTTTAGTTTAGATTTATCATCTGTGCTGTAGCCACAGAGATTTAGCAGAACGCCTACAATTCAGATAATGTGTGACCACTAGTGGTTAGGATATAACTTGTGATAGTCATGATATCTTTTCTTTTTGAGAGATTTTTGCTACAGGGTGTAGATGTTCACTGAAGAGACAGACAGAGACAGAAGGCAAGAAATCACCCCCTAGGGGATAGCCACACCATAGTTTCTCCTCCATTCTCCTCTTGGGATCTTGGGCATGCACGCACATGCACCCTGTGTGAGTTTTAAGCCAGTGGGTCTGGGAATTGAACTGTGGTTGTCTACATGGGAGTCCAGTGATGCAACTGTTATTCCATCTGCTGGTCTCCACGATACCTTTTCTAACACTGTTTAGACTGAGTGATTAGCACTTCATTGTTGTAGTTTATTTTATTTGTTGTATTAAAGTACTTTTAGCCCATTTTATTTATTTATTTATTTATTTATTTATTTATTTTTAGATTTATTTTTACCACAAGGTGCATGTGCTTGCAGGAGCGGGGAGGAGGAAGAGGGAGAGAGAGAGAGAGAGAGAGAGAGAGAAATCACCCCCCAGGGGGTATGGCCATGCCACAGTTCCTTTTCCTCCACTCTCCTCTTGGGATTTTGGGTGCATATGCTCATATACCCAGTGTGATTTTCAGGACACCAGGCTGGGACTTGAACTGCAGTCAGCCATCTGGGATTCCAGTGCCTTAACCACCACACTGTGACCTGCTAGCCCTATAGCTCATTTCAAGTTGTGTCATTCACAGAAAATTATATTTTGCTAATACCATGGGATAAATGGATGAGGCAGCTGGTGGCTCTGCCCAGTCATCCCTGAGAGCTGAGGCAATCAGTATTTCCACACATCCGGGACCCATCGTAGTACACTAGTCTGCCAAAGCACGGTCTTGGAGAAATTCTGGATGTGTGATATATGAAGCCACTAAACTACCTTCCCAAATATTAAATGTTCAGATTAATATTCTGAAACTCAGGAGTACTAAGGGGTGAACAAATAGCATAAACTAAGAGATCCTTCTCAATTGAAGTTCACATTGTATTAAAAAAAATCCATGATTGGGAACCAGCAGTTTGCGTAATGGCTATGTCGCTGGACTCCCACGTAGTCGACCGCAGTTCACGTCCCGGACCCAGTGGCTTAAAACTCACGCGGGCGCGTGTGCGTGCGTGCCCAAGATCCCGAGAGGAGAATGGAGGAGAAGGGATTGCAGCGAGACCATCCCCCCTGGGGGATGATTTCTCGCTTTCTGTCTCTATGTCTCTTTCTGTCGGTCTGGCGAGCGCACGCGCCCTATAGCGAAAACCTCTCCAAAAAAAAAAAAAAATCCATGATCTATATTTAATAATATGCAAGATGTACAGTAGTAAGCTAAATTGATAATACTCTGTGTTTGACAAAATGGTGAAATACACAGTATGATAAATGACATTTTCTTTTTACACAGCAAATAATATTTGAGAATTCATGAGTAAGTAGGCCACCAGATTATTTAAAAATATTTTTAGGACTATTGTAGTAAATATTTTTCCATTTTGCTTTGTCATGGGAGTACTGAGGAAAAACTCCCTACTTTGTACTCTCTCGGACCCCCCATTCATCAGCCGCAGCCTTTGATGAGTGGCTGCTAGGACAGGGAAAATGTCCCTATAGCTTATAGGAACCACACTAGAAGTTCTTAATGCTGGAGATAAGACGTCAGAGGACAGGCTTGCCTTTCCTTTCCCTTGGACCTGTAGTCTGCTTCTGTTGCCAAGGAGGGAAGCCAGGAAAAGAGCAGGACTTGGCCAAGAGGTTAGGAGAGGAGTATGCGAGAGGAGTAGGAGGCTCACGATTAAGCTGAAGAATGAGAGGTGAAGGAATTAAATCACCCCACATAATGATCACCCTATTGTTCTTTTTTCAGAAGGCTGTCACAATTGTTAGCATTAAATGGGAACTTTGGACTGCCATTGTTGGCAGATCCAACAGCTAGGTATTTAATGTTTAGGCAGAAATATCTTAAGGAGGTTGAGGGCAGAGTTTCAGGTAATAGTGTAGTGTATGGAATGCCATGAAACCATCAAGTTGAATTCCTTTAGACTGTCATTTAAAGTGTTATGACATGTACACATGATCTCTAATTATAGCATGGGAATTTATAAGAGGATGTTAATTTTGTCCCCTTTCTCAGAATTATTATGAAGTCACTGTTCTGTACTCCTTTTTATTTCAATAAAATGTGTTAAGAGATGTTGCTGCAACATTATATTTAGATTTCTCTTTTGATTTGGTTTTCAGACAATTTCCTTTGTATAACAATGATATTCGATGGCAGCAGCCCAATCCAAACCCTGCTGGACCATACTTTGCCTACCCCATTATATCTGCTCAGCCACCTGTTTCTACAGAGTACACGTATTATCAGTTGATGCCAGCACCATGTGCCCAAGTTATGGGTTTTTATCATCCTTTTCCTACACCTTACTCCAACACCTTTCAAGCTGCAAATACTGTAAGTGCTATCACCACGGAGTGCACAGAGCGTCCAAATCAGCTTGGACAGGTCTTCCCGTTGTCCAGTCATCGAAGCAGAAACAGTAACAGAGGATCAGTAGTACCCAAAGTAAGCAACCGCCGTTGATTGGCCTTTCAATTCCGTTCCTACCAGCATACCTAATTTGCTACTCGCATTGATTGACCTTTAATGCTACATTTCCTAGAAAACGTTTAACTCACTAGTATAAAATGGCCAAGGGTAGATTGTTTATAATTTTGCTGTTCGTTGTTTCTCATTGATGGTGATGTGGTTTGCAGTCGTTTTCATGTCCCTTCAGAGAATTTTACATAAATATAATGCACAAATTTTCCAGATTATTTTAATGATTAAAAACTGTATGGTGATCTTAGTTAATATAAGTGATTGGTGTGGATCCCATGCTAGCAAAGAGATCATTTCTGATTCATTAGATCTATCTCTTCAACTTCATTGTTTGTATTCTGTGAATTTTTAGTAGCACTTTGTTATCTAAGAGTTGCTTTACTCTTATCTGAACAAAGGGCCTCCTAGGGATGAAGCCAATGAAAGATAAATATGTGCAACCATTTCTATTCAGGGGCAGCCTTTGACTAAGTTTAAGAAAAAAAAAGCAAAGAGGGAGAATTAGGTTTATTCTGGGTAACTTAAAACTATTTTTTTTTTTAACTAAAAGGCTACTTTTCCATCGAGACCTTATATCAAAGCTGATGAAGAGTAAAAACCATGTTTCTAGTCAGCATTTTTGAGCTGTGAGAAGAGCCGCTCCTTAGATGCATCTTAAAATTTATTAAGAAGTTGATGCTTTTCCCTAGGTTCTATTAGCCCAGCTTCTTCAGTGAAAAGTCTTTGCTGGTCCCTGCCATAATTTTAACAAATTAAAATGCAAACGTGTAGCAGAGGTTGCTTTGAAAAGCTTTTTAGTCTGTTCATGGAAACATTGTGGTCAGAGGAAATCCTTTTGGGACCTCTGAGAATGAGAAGTATTAGAAATAAGAAAATAGTGTATATAATTTCCAGATGTTGAAGGAGCATAATTTCTCAGAATGCATTCTTGACACTTTAACTTTTTCAAAGTTAAAGAAGTTTAGATTTAGAGATCTATTGTGCAAATTGCGATTAGGCCATGGATACTCATTTTAAAAAGTAAAGGAAGGGATCAGCCTGTTTATATTTTCTTTAGACCACCAAAGGAGAATTTTTTTTTTTACTTCATTTTTGTCAGAAAACTAAAATTTAGCACTGGGATAATTTTTATTACCTTTTGAAATAAATTATAATTTGACGTGACTATATAATTATAATATGACATGACTACACCCTTGTTATTTATTATTTATTCATTGAGAAAATAACTGCAAATAACAATTAAAAATGAACTCATTTTCTAATCATAACACCATTAATGGCTGTTTGAAAAAGAGTGTATCAATGTGTGTGTAATACATTATTTAGCCTATTGTGCTTTGCCACAGATTATTTCATGAAACCTTAATATAGTATCTCTATTTACTTATGGGTTGGGAGCCACTGATTTGATTTGAAAAGTACATTTAGATGAATTTTGTAATGGTTAGTGCATTAAATGGGTTGTTCTTTTTTTTTTTTCTTCTTTTTAAATCAACAACAGCTTTTACAACAGCACATAAAAAGCAAAAGGCCACTGGTGAAAAATGTAGCTACACAGAAAGAGACAAATGCTGCAGGTCCTGATAATCGCTCAAAAATTGTGCTTCTGGTAGATGCTTCACAGCAGACTGGTAAGGCAAAGGTTCTGATATGTGCAGTGCAGATTTTTATTTGTTGTCACGCATTGACTTTTTAATTGTGAAATATACCAGTATTTAGGATTGTAGACTTTTTTTTTTTTTTAAAGAATTATTTATTTAATTTTATTTAATACTGTTATTTTAAAAATTTGACCAGAGACAGACAGAAGGAAGTTGAGTGGGGTTTGGGGGCAAAGTGAGAAAGCAAGCCACCAGATCTGAGACTCCAACTGTGGTTGACCATGTGGGAGTCCAGCGACTTAACTACCACACCACCTGCCGGCCCCAGAATTACAGACTTTTCCTCCTCTGATTTGTCCTTCCACTTAGTGAAGTTCTCTAAGAAGAATAAGGTAATCCATGTCCTTCATACTCTTTCAGCTTGGCTTGCTGATTTACGTACAGTTTTGAGAAGGGTTTGAGGTGTCATTTCTCCTGGTAGTAGTGGGGCAGTGGAAAAATCAGCTGGAATTTTGCAGATATTGTAGAAATTTTAGGGACAATTTTTGGCAAAAGTCAAATTTTTTTCTTTTCTTTTTGTTTTTAAATGCCATAGGGCATATATACATATGTACACGCAAGAGAGAAAGCCTTTCCTCAGGATCCTGGCTTGTGTGCATGTGCCCAGCATGTTTTCCAAGCCATGGGCTGGAATTTGAACCACAGTTGACCATGTAGGTTCCATCTCCTGCATGATCCTTAACTGGTGTGTTACAGGGCTGGCCCTCGAGATCAGAATTATGTTTTTGTAACTAGATTAAATCTGTTTGTGAAACACCCTAACTCAACATTTTTATAGAAAGAACCTCTCAAGTTTTCTGTACCATATTTTGACATAGATCTGAACTAAACCAATGAGTAACAGCTATATCCTGACAAGTAAAAAATTTGAAATCGTCGTAAGAATTTGTCAAAAATTTTAGAGGGCTGTATAAATGTTAAGTAGCTTTATCCTTGGAATAGACAAGACTGATATTCTTATAGGATTCAAGCTGTTTCCCAGTTTTATCATGAAATTCCAGTTTGAGTCTCTGCTCTCAGCTTTATCTGTAGAGTAGATATCTATCTTTTCTCACCCATTGTCCTTGATGCAAGTAGAAAATTCTTGTCAATGATCTGAGGCAAAGAATTAAATCTGTTCAAAGGCACAATTGCTTTTTATTCCTCTAACCTCCACTCAAGATCTGGGGCAAAATGAGTAAGATATCTTACAGTTTTTTTTTTTTTTTTTCCCTTTCATTTTGACTGTTCATTTTCTTTTAGACATCTATTCATTTATTATTTTACAATTGTTCAGATTCATTAGGAGTCAGGAAAGGATCTGGGGATCAGTTTAAAAAAGTCTTCTTGATAATGCAGTCATTATGTCGTTTGTAAGGCATAAAGCAGAGAGATTTACAGACTGACACATGCCTGGAGTGGGTGTTTAAAGAATCGCTATGTAATGCATTACAGAATTTTTTGTTTTGGTTCTTCTAGTCACAGTGACCCAGTTCTGCAAACATGCTTTCCGTCCTGAGAAGGCTTTCAAAAATTATCCTTACTTTAGGTTGTTCACGAAGTGATCACAGAGGTAACCTTCTTAAGCAGAATTAGAAAATGGAAAGATGAAAACATAATTGGAGAAGATTAGAATTTTTATCAGTATTTTATTTTTAGTTTGTCTTCAGATCCAAGTCTTGTACATTCAATCAGTATACTTATTCTTTAGTTTATTTTCAGTTTCTCAGGAGTAATTAGTATCAGTCAGATCGAATTAAATACTATTTAGTTTAATAGGATTTTGTCCTATTAATTTATAACAGATTTTTACTTTTGACAGTAAGCTTATATTAATAGTTTAATAAGATGGCTAGATACAGGTAATATGCAAAAATTAAATGTATTTGAATTTGTCCCCAACAAGTAAAATTTAAGAAAATAAGGCTTTTACAATAGCTACAAAAATAAAGTTTTCGGAAATAAATCTGAAAGATGTATGAGACCTATATGCGGAAAACAAAGACTTTTTTTTTTTTTTTTAAATAGGACATTAGGAAAAGCCAAAGTAGGGCTAGCCCTGTGGCTTGGTGATTAAGGGAGCTGGATACTATAAGGCCACCCATGCAGTTTGAATCCCAGGCCTGGTGGCTTGAAAACACACTGGACTCACGTGCATGTGTGCTACCTATCCTGCTTGGGTGGAAAACCGAGGGAGGAGAGACTGAGGTGTGACCATCCCCACTGGTGGGTGCTTTCTCCTCCTCTCTCCTCTCAGAGTGTGTACCCTCTGGCAAAATACTATAGAAAAAGAAAGAAAGAAAGAGAGAGAGAGAGAGAGAGAGAGAGAGAGAGAGAGAGAGAGAGAGAGAGAGAGAGAGAGAGAGAGAGAGAGAGAGAGAGAGGAGAGGAGAGGAGAGGAGAGAGAAAGAGAGAAAGAGAGAGAAAGAAAGAAAGAAAGAAAGGCCTAAATTATGCAGAGTAATTTGATATTATTAGTGTCAGTTATCCCCAAGTTAGACTCAATGTAGTTTTAATAAAAAATCCATTAGGAGTTTTTAGGGAACTTAACAGACTAATTCTAAAATAAAGGAGCATTGGTTTGAGAAGAGCCAAAATATTTCTGAAAAAGAGCGTTTCCTCTAGGTATTAAGACTAATAAAGCTGTCTTAAGTTCCATTTGGTTGTATATCAGTATAGTATATAAATATTGAACAGAACACAGAGCCCAGAAACAGATCCCACATGTAAACACATACATGAAAAATGGCGGAGGTAGTGTTATTTATACCCTACACAAGTCTACTCCTGATAGATTAATGACTTAGAAGGGAAATCCAATGGTAGAAGAAAATGGAGGCAGATGTCTTTATGACTTCAGGAAAAAGACTATTTCTAAAATTTTAAATTTCTGTTTATTAAAAGTAGGGAAATAAAAAGCCTACAAACTTGTAAAAGGTTTTTTTACCATGCATGTAACTGCAAAGGAGTAACCTGATATGTATAAAGAATTCATATGAATCAATAAGATCATCTCACCCTATCCTTGGGGACCCTGGGATAGAGTATAGGGGATGTGAAACAATTGGGCAGAAATGTTTCTTTTGACTTAGTTCTGTCACTCTTGTGAATGCATCCAAAGGGAATCTGTCCCTAGAAAGGGAAGGGACTGTTTGTTTAATGATGCACATTACAGCAGTGCTGCAAAATACTGATAGCTTCTTAGTGTCCAGTAGCAGGTGACAAGGCATGTGAAGAACAGGATAATATGGAGTGATCCTTATAATTATGAAGACTTGTCATAGCATGGAACCTATTAAGCAGAGCACAATTCAGAATCATACCACTGTTGTGTAAAACTTATGTGTGGGCAAGAATGTGGAAAAAGGAAAACTTGTGATTTGTTGGAAAAAGACTCTCAAGTTTTTAGAGGCACGTCTTAATTGTGATTACAGTTTGTGAAATAAATGGATAGCTCAGTAGACAAATTGGCAGAAGTCCAATAATTCCAAGTAAAATTAGCAATGATTTCATGGACCAGCAGGTGGTGTGGTGGTTCAGGTACTGGACTCCCACATGGCTGACCACAGTTTGAGTCCTGGATCTGGTGGTTTGCTTTCTCACTTTCTCTCTCGTGAGCCCTGTAGCAATTTTTAAAAATAATAATGATACATAGAATTAAATAATTCCTTAAAAATAAACAAGATTTCCCAGAAGGGAAAACATTGGTGGTTAAAAGCATCTGAAAATATGCTCAACCTCATTATTAAGCAGGAAAATCCAAATTGAAACCCAGAGGGAGCCACCTTTTCCCAAAAGATTGGGAAAAATCATAGTCTAGAAAACAGTATTAAGTATTTGCTGAATATGTAGATCACTGGTGATATTTATATGCATATCTTGCTGGTGGAATGTGAGTTGTCTTAAGCACTTTATTATTTTTTTGGAGAGGTTTTTGCTGTCGGGTGCATGCACTCTCCAGAAAGACAGAAACAGAGACAAAAAGTGAGAAATCACCCCCAGGGGGGTGGCCATGGTGTAATCCCTTTTTCTCCATTCTCCTCCTGGGGTCTTGGGCTCGCACGCACATGCACCCGGCGTGAGTGTAAGCCACCAGGGCTGGAATTTGAACCGCAGTTGACTACATGGGAGTCCAATGACATAGCCATTACGCCAACTGCTGGTACCTCTTAAGCACCTTTGAAAATGATTTGATATTATCAGTTGAAGTTGAATAAGTGCATCCCCTCAATCTGAGCAGTATGTTCTTTAGAGAAACTTTCACATACACCCAGGTATATTCTTTTGTCTGTAAAAGAATGTTTATAGCAGTGTTGTTCTTTTTTAAAAATTATTAATTTAATTTTATTAATTATTATGATCATTTTTAATTTGAGAGAGAGAAAAGCAAAGTGAGAAAGCAAGCCACCAGGTCTAGGACTTGAACTGCAGTGGGCCATGTGGGAGTCCAGTGCCTTAACCACCCACCACACCACCTGCTGGCCCTGGCCCCGGCCCCATAGTTTTTTTTTTTTTTTTCTTTTTTTGGAGAGGTTTTTGCTATAGTGCACGTGTACTCGCCAGACAGAGACAGAGACAGAGAGACAGAACGCAAGAAATCACCCTCCCCCATGGGGGATGGCCATGCTGCAATCCCTTCTCCTCCCTTCTCCTCTCGGGATCTTGTGCACGCACACACACGCGCCTGACTTGAGTTTAAGCCACCGGTTCGAACTGTGGTTGACTACATGGGAGTCCAGCGACATAGCCATTACACTAACTGCTGGTCCCTTTTTTTTTTTTTTTTAAAGAGAGATTTTTGTTATAGGGCGTGTGTGTTTGCTGGAGAGACAGAGAGACAAAGCAAGAAATCACCACCACTGTACCCCCACCCCTCCCAGGGGGTGGCCGAACCACAATCCCTACTCCTCGGTCTCCTCTCAAGAGTCTGGGTTAGCACTTGAATTTGTTTTTGTCTGTCTTTCACTGTACCCCCACCCCTCCCAGGGGGTGGCCGAACCACAATCCCTACTCCTCGGTCTCCTCTCAAGAGTCTGGGTTAGCACTTGAATTTGTTTTTGTCTGTCTTTTAGACAAAGACATAGAAAAGTGCAAAAAATAAATCCTCTTTTGCAACCCAAAACTCATTGTTTAGTATGAGTTTTGATACATATAAGAAGGAATATTACTGCTCAAGACAGTTCAAAGTGATAGGATCATTCATATCAATAAAAGTTGGATCCAGAAATGATTCATGGTTTAATAATTAAAAAGCATTGGACATGAGGAAAATCTCAATTATATTCTATCTAATTCATAAGTTGACAGGATATATTAAAAAAAAAAAAAGAGTCTGGGCATGCATGCACATGCACCCAACGTGAGTTTTAAGCCACTGGGTCCAAGACTCGAACAATGGTTGACTATGTGGAAGTCCAGCAAAGTAACCATTACACCATCTGCTGGTCCCTGTTGTATTGTTCTTAATAGCAAAAATCTGAAAACAAACCAGGGGTCCCATCAGTAGTACAAAGAATAAACACATTATAGTGTATTCATACAAAGATGTTCTAGATACCAGGGGCATTGATGAATCATAGCCATATGCATCAGAATCTCCAAACCAGTGTTCAATTGGGGGCAGAGGGGAACAAGCCCAGAAGACTAGAGACAGTGTGATTTTTTTTTTTTTAAATTAAGGTTAATTGCAAAATTATATGATATATATCTTAGAGTTAGGAAAATCTGTGGTAACCCTGTAAATATAAGTGAGGGAATGGTAAAGACAGAGTTCAGAATAGAGGTCACCTCTGAGGAAAGAGAAGAGTGCAGCAGTAGAGGGGGATACACAGTGGACTTGAAAAGACTGGTGATGTTCTCTTTCTTAAATGACTGGTGGTTGGTTTAGATTTTTTTTCCCCCTGCCACAGGGCTTGTGTGCTTGATAGAGACAGAGTCAAATTGAGAAGTCACTCCCCCTGGGGGGTGGGAGTGGGGTGTACACATCGCAGTCCTTCCTCCATTCTTGTCTCGTGTTTTGGGGCGTATAGGCAGATGCACCTGGTGTAATTTTCATGCCACCAAGTCTAGGACTCTAACAATGTCAACTATGTGGGATTCCAGTGCCTTAACATCGTGCCACCTGCTGGCCCCTGAAGGTTTAATATTTTAATGACATGATATTTTATTCTCTTTTCATAGTAGAAACAAGTTATATAATATAACCTATCAGGAACTCCTCTTAATGATACTGTCAAAAAATCATGTATCTGTCCGTTTACAAAGTTTGCCATCTTTATTTTCGTAACGTTAATTTAACAACATTTTATCAATTTGGTCATCACAGAGAGTTGTCACACTTTCCTTGCCTTCTAGATTTCCCTTCAGATATTGCTAACAAGTCTCTCTCGGAGAGCACTGCCACAATGCTCTGGAAGTCCAAAGCCAGGAGGAG